GTGGATTAGACGCCGAATGATAGAATGATGATTAACTCAGTACTATCCAAAGAAGATTTTCGAGGAATCAGCTAGAACAAACTTATTCACTTGGCAACATAGGTACTACCTAGGTAGGTACCGGTACTCTAATCATAGTAAACTCCTTGGCCACTTCTCTTGATGGAATCTTTCGTTGCGTTGTACTTTCCGAGTCTCATGCTACCTATGTAATAACACACATATCACGTGCTCTGCTAGCCATGCTGTGAGCGGAGTTGAACCAGAAACCAGACAAGGCTGAGAACCCATAGAAAAGCCACTCTATGCTATATGTGGTACTCCGTAGTTTGACTCTTGACTCTGCCTCGTCCCCCAATCACAAGAGTACAGTGCACATCTAGATCCAAGCTTCACCGACTCGAACAAAACAGAACATCCCAAGGCTTCCATCAGGTAGCGCTTACTTTGACTGATGATGAGGAAGGCGCTAATCCAAAATAGACGCTGCTTGCTACGGTTTGACATGGTGCAATGCAAACTGTACAATCCCAGAGAGGGAAAGGGTGATTGCTTGTTAGGTAGCTGTAGATACTTTGTTATTCTTCCAAACTTGATCCCCAGTGACTCAAAACATTGGTATTTAGGCAACCGATCGTCTATTCACCGTATAGAAGGCTACGACAGCTACTTCCATGCCCTTCCCTGATATTTAATTTACGCCAATTGAACATGTCAATTGTTCATGTACAGCAGTTACGATTCACTTTCGAGACTCTAACATGGTCCAGCTGTGATTGATGACTTTTATTGACTTTTGAAGACCAACTAGAAAAGACACTAGGACGTACTAAAATACTTAATTCATACTACACTTTTTGAACCGGGATTTTCTCAGGCTAAGCGACCATAAGGCCTGACATAAAGGCGCCTTCAATTCCCATTCAAATCCTCCTTCTCATTAACACATACATCCACCAACTTGACAAACAACTCAACACAACTCAACTCTACAATCTCACCCACACACAACAAATTCTCATAACCACCACCTTAACACAAAGAAAATAATAATATCTTCCAAAATGTCTGAAGGTACCGCCACCACCATCAAGCTCGTCAGCAATGACAATGTCGAAGTTACCGTTGGTAAGTTACCCCGCCTACTATCCGAACCCAAACCCGCAGACCGAGTTCAACAATGAATGCTAACTTTTATCAATAGAGCGATCTGTTGCTGAGCGCTCCATGTTGATCAAGAACATGTTGGATGATCTTGGAGATGGTGTTCTCGAGACTCCCGTCCCAATCCCTAACGTAAGTTTAGATCTCTGACATCATTTCACCTTTATCCTCATTGAACATCAAACTAATAATTTTTTCTCTTTACAGGTCAATGAGGCTGTTCTCCGCAAGGTTATCGAGTGGGCTGACCACCACAAGCACGACCCTGCCCCAACTGCCGATGACGATTCAGATAGTCGCAAGAAGACTACTGATATTGAGGAATGGGACCAAAAGTTTATGCAAGTCGATCAAGAAATGTTGTTCGAGATCATCCTTGTAAGTTATATTTCTTTGAAACAAAGATGCTTGATCATTTCTAACAACTCACCATTAGGCTGCCAACTACCTTGACATCAAGGCTCTTCTCGACGTCGGATGCAAGACAGTCGCAAACATGATCAAGGGAAAGTCCCCAGAGGAAATCCGAAAGACTTTCAACATCACCAATGACTTCACTCCTGAGGAGGAAGAGCAAATTCGCCGCGAGAACGAGTGGGCTGAGGATCGTTAAGACTATACGTTGATAAAATAATTACCGCGGTTACCGTATGATACCATCACGATTTGGGGGTTGTTTATAAATGTGGGGTGATGGTTAGCTTCAGTAGCATGGGGGGAGTTCTCTGATTGTTTCTGATTACCAACCGAAAGTCCAGGTTCATACACTTTCATGGCGTGGGGGGTCTATTTCCTAGTTTTTTTTTTCTATTAGGGTTTACAGTGTGTATGTACACACATTGGGCGGGCGTTTTATGAGGATGCTGAAGTGTAGACGGAGGATGTCAATAAAGGATATTACATAGATAGTCTACACTCAACCATACAGGTATCACACAATTGCACTGGTTTTCAATATTATATTATGTCTTCTTTTGTTATGTGAATATGTGATTTTGTGAGTATAGTTTTGGAGGCATGGTTCTTTTCAAGCTTCTTCGAAATGCAAGTTGCTCTTTAGCCAGGACGTTCTTCTTTCTAAGCTGCTTCTGACATTGAAGGCGATCTTTTGGGCAGGGTGTTTTGGACTGTTCTTTCTGTTGTAGATATTACAATTGCACTTTCCACTATTACCATTTAGTGGCATTTACATCATCAGTCTCATTCCCACTCTCATGAACATTGAGTTTTGACATTGACATTCCCACTAACATCCTCACCACCCTACCTACCTTGGTAATCATATAAAAGTTTCCAGTATCCAGTATCAAATCATTACAACTCTCTTTACCTACCTACCTATCTACCTAGGTAGGTAGGTACTCTCTCTCACACTCACTTCTTCGTTGTCTCTCCTGAACCAATTACGAAGATTACGAGGATTGCAATTCATAAATTTGATATGATGCGATATCCTTTGGTTTGGTGCGGCGGGGTTTTTGGTTGGGTTTAGATAGGTGTGTGTGTGTGTGTGTGTGTGTGTGTGTACATATATATACCGAGCAAAGTATGATATATCTAGCGAATCATCGAAGATACCTTTTCCCCCCAGAACAATATCTCTTCCCACCTACTTACTACCTACTACGTCTCTTTGATTTTCCATTCGTGATCTCGATTTCTATATATCTCTGATGTGGAAATCCTTTATACAAATCTACATGCAAGTCTGTATACAAGTATAATGAGTCAGAGTCTGAATCTTAGCACAAAAGAAAATCAGACTTGCGTTTTGAAAATTCTTCTCGCTGTGATGGTTCATGTTGTTAGTCTCTGGGAAATTTATATATTTATATGTACATATGTATACTCAAATACATTAAATACATCAAATCCATCATCCTTTGGCAGCCAAAGTCTCGAGTATAGAGTATAGAGTATAGAGTATAGAGTATAGAGTATAGAGTATAGAGTATAGAGTATAGAGTATAGAGTATAGAGTATACAAGCGAAGGAAAATGAAAAGGGATATATGTATATATATATTATTTTAGTAAGAACCAGATAGATTACTCGGGGTTCGATTTATCTAAATCAACAAATTTTCTGTGAGACAGTGAGATTCCGGATTTTTGTATTTGTTTTGATGTGAAGGATCGTTTGGTTTCTCGTGAGAGTAGGGTGATGTAGCTGGATAGAATGAAGAATATCTTCTCTCTCCTCCCCTGCTCGTTTATTCATCGTACGAAGGGTTCTTGTGATCATATCTTGCTTGGTGCTTGTATTACTACTAGCTAGCATTCTATATCTCGTGTCCTATATCCTAATTCAAATCCTACCAAATTCATCAACTCCATCAACTCCATCACCTCCTACCCAACTCAGTCCAGTTTAACACACTCAACACACCACACCACACTCCACTCTCACCTCCTCTTTTCCCACCCCCCTCTCTCTCTCTCTCTCTCTCTCTCTTATTCCTGTTTTTCCAGCTTATATGCAGCCTCTCTCTCTCTATATTCACCACTATGCACTATACACTATACACTATACACTGTAAAACATCCAGCAAACTCCCCCCCATACCAACCAAATAACCATTCCCATTCTCATTCTCTTTCAATAGACAAATACCTAGATATTTCAAATACCACACATATATCTACATATAGATACTCATTCGACTCTAAACCCAAACAGACATAATAACTCATAATCCACTAGTTAAGTGTGTATATGTGTAAATGCACTCGTTGAATACGTTTGTGTATATATATGTGACTTCACACAATTAATACGATCATAAACATGATATCATGACATGCCATGATACAACCAGTATAATAAAACGAATATAAAGAGTAGAGGTGCACACAAGGGTGAACATGATACAAAAGGGGGAATGGATATTGGAATAGATGAATAAAGGGCGGGTATATGTGCATAAAGGTGGAGGTGGAGAAAACTGGAGTCGAGATTCTGGAGCAGGAGAGATAAAGGGAGAACATGAAGGAATGTGATGATGCTGGGAGGAAATGGCTAAGAATGAGTGGGAAGAGAAAGGGAGGGGTGGGGGCAGTTGCTGTGAAAAGGGTGGTTGTGGATGAACTAAAGGTAAATCTTAGATATGGGGAAGATCAAGGGACCAAGGGGAAGGAGGACCCCTTGCAGTTCGTGGATGCGGGCTGATTCGATCATACTCTGTAAAATGATGGAGGATGCTGAAAAACATGGCCGAAGCTGAATATCCGATCCAAGTACCAAGTCCTCCCAGCGACCTTTCTAGACGTTTCAATCCATATCCCATGGAGATTCAAGATGAGCGTGATCACACCCATTCACAATCACAAAGCGAAATCCACTCAAAACCCCAATAATATAACATGGAGAAATCAACAAAACATCCCATTTCCTCACTGAGTCACTTTGCTATAAACACAATGATCCTCTCTCAATCGCGATATATGCCATTCATTGAACCGGCCTAGCAATCAGAAATGTTACGCCTCCCTTTTCCCAAAGCAACATCCATCAGTTGTATCCTCCTGCCAAACCGAGCAAAAATTATCATTTCATTTCTCCATGCTCCTCCCTCATAAAAATTGCCATTCGTGTCTTAGTATCGTGCGAATTCGGGATAAGTAGAGTATGGTTTGGTGGATGGGCGAGAAGCGGAAAAAAGAGAAAATCGTATGAGCGTGGGTAGAGGTTGAGGAGAAGATGGAATGTTTTGCTGTTGAAAGGTGATGCATCTAAAGACCGATACGAGTCTTTCTCCAGTGACGTCTCTTTGCGTTGTATCTATTGGATTCAATTAGTCAAAAGATCGATCGAAGTTGCTGATATTCGATAATGATTCATCTCGACTTTACAAAGTCGAAAGGGGAATCGAAGAGGTGGAAGTCTGGTTTTTGTGCTGATGCCTTGGGGCATTCCAAATCTTGAACATACCGGATGGTGTTACCAGTCCTCAAACGGATCCATTGTGGGATGGGTCTGTTTTGCTTTTGGGCTCTCGCAAGCTTCTGCTTGGTGCGGAATGACTTTTGGGACTGTAAAGAAGTATCGAATTAGCATCTATATGGTATGTCGTGTGGTTTCCTCCTCCTTGGCCAGGTCGTTTGGTTGGTATTCGAGATCGTGAATTCCATCTCTCAATTTCGCGCCCATAAATCCTTCTCCTATCTCGAACCCATTCCAATTTCCCAGGCCAAGCGATTGAACGTATGCGTCATTTAAAAAAGGTAGTACATACCGGCATCTTGAAAAGTCGGCGTCGATATTGTCGTTGTCGTGCTGGATCAAAAGTCCGATGATAGAGGTTCAATGGATTCACACACCAAAAAATTCTGACGAGGGCTTTATTTCTCGGTTGCCCTTTCGATCAGCCTTAAGGCTCTCAGGCTCAAGTCTTGAGTCGATGCACGTGAGGGGCCTGGAAAAATAAAGTTATGACTAATCATGATCGGAAACCTCTCGCTCCGCGATTAGGATTGGAAATACGGTAAGGCGCTGCATCAAAGCAACATTTGAACAGTTGACCTCGCTGGTAAAACATAGATCACTTGAGTAGAAAGTCCTACCCTTTGACACTACAAGACATCCCAATTATCGCAGACGATTACAGCATCACGACGATTTACGAATTCTACAAATCTGGTGATTATTGAGCATAAGATTGGGACAAAGAAAGGAAGATTCCAGGAAGACAAGGATAGGGGACAGCTAAGCATAGTTGTTTAGGAGGTCGACTTCAAGAGAAACAGGAAGAGAACAGGAAATACCATTACAAGCCTTTCAAGATGGGCGCAAGTGTTTCGTGGCTGTCGGGGATGCTATTTTCGAAGAAAGAGATCCGGATATTGATTTTGGGACTGGTAAGTAGTAGCCTGAAGGCCTCTTGGGGCATTCGAGGACTAGCAAAGAAGAAGGGGAAGCTAATATATCTGCGAATTGGTTAGGATAACGCTGGAAAGACTACATTACTATATAGGTTGAAGGTTAGTGGCTACAGACCTTTGGCACTACAGGAGGGGCTTTATGCTAACGGGAAACCGCAGATTGGGGAAGTGGTAACTACAATACCGACTATTGGTTTCAATGTGGAATCAGTGACGTACAAAAATCTAAATTTCAACGTTTGGGTAAGGTCATATTTCCTCTCTTCATTCTTCTCAAATCTGCCATTTAGCGACTCCTGACTAACTTGCTTGGTTTAGGATCTTGGAGGACAAACGTCAATTAGACCCTATTGGCGCTGCTACTACGCTAATACGGCTGCGGTAATATTCGTTATCGATTCTACAGACATTGATCGATTAGGCACTGCATCAGAAGAATTGGCAGCAATGTTGAATGAGGACGAGTTGAAAGATGCTGCACTACTAGTATTTGCGAATAAACAAGATCAACCGGGAGCGAAAGGTGCTGGTGAGATTTCCGAGGCTTTAAGACTAGGAGAGTTAAGGGATAGGAATTGGAGTATAGTGGCATGTAGTGCCGTAGATGGCAGTGGTGTGGATGAGGGGATGGATTGGCTTGTTGTAAGTGTTCCAATGCTTGGAAGTGGCTTATGCAATTAAGAAACGGCGATACTAACATAACAATAGCAAACTGTACAACAAGAGTCGTAATAGAGGAAGAAGATTCACAAAAATGACCGTGTGTACTATGATCACGATACCATACCTAAACATCAGTTGAATAATTGACGGGAAGGATCAAACTGGAGTCCGGGGTACAAATGTCGAGCTCCATATTTTTGCTACGCTCATGGATATGAACAAGACCATCATTCTCGGAGGTATAATAGATGCATAGGCGTCTTTGAGCATCTGCATCTGGGCCGGGAGCACTGTATTTGAATCTTTATTTGTAATTGAGCATCTTAGATTGATGGATTAGTGATGAAATCATATTGACACTTAAGACATTGATCTGGCCAAAGGAATGATCTAGCTAAAGGTCTAATCTAGCTAGCTACCATTAAATTTGAAAGCTACGCGAAAACCAAACACCTGATCATCTTTTCGACAGATGGTTACGAGTCCTGCGCACCTCTGCTTTGTGATACAATCGAGTCTAGATCTTTAGATTTGTCAAGTCCTATTAGCAAGCCATAGATAAACTAATAAAAGGAGGCGAGGGCCACGAACGATCTCATGGATCTTGTCGATGTAGGTATGGCACATGGATAATTCAGAATGGAACTTGCTGTCACATATGTTTGTGGATCCCCGTGGACAAGGCAAGGTCTCTTAGCAGATTGCAATTTGAGAAAAGGACGAAATCCCATACTCATATCACGAAATCCCATGTGTGAAAGCTATCTACGCCGCAGGAAGCTAGAGCATTCATTTGTGAAAGAAAACCTTGAAAGTGTGCGAGAGAATGAACGAACGTGGCCAGCCAGCCACAAGCGCGATAGATACCGAGATTCGGGATTTGGAGATGATCAGAGTTAGTTGGGAATTTGATTCGGGAACCTTGATGTTTTTGGGTACTTTCTTTGGGTTGCATAGGTACTAGGTGGTAAGTCGGTATCCACTGTTGGCTGGGAAAACCTTGGAATTTATCTTGGTTGGGATTTGGGACCTTTCCGATATTAGATGTTGGATGTTGGATGTTGCAGAAGGGGTTTTATTTTTGTGATGGGAGAGATAATGTCAGATCGATTACGACATAGACGGGTTTGAAGTACTAGATAGGCATCTTTGAGATACTCGGGTACTACTATGTCGTTGTGCGATAATACCGTCGCTACTGGGTAACTATGTGTAATGTGCGACATGAAGCGGCGGATTCCACCTCTCGTTTGGTAAAATAAAGTTCCAAAAGGCATTTTCCTACCATTGCCGGGCCTTCCCTTCCCGAGGCTCCTTCTGGAAAGATGTTCCCGATGTGGTAAAAAGTTACAAGCAACAATAATACATATTGTGATACCCATTATCCATATCCGAGGTCATTTTCACAGAGTACATACAGATACAGTAACATTCTCGATGGATTATACTGTGTTGTATGTAATGCCATGCTCACCATTCGTTGTCGGGGATAAGTGATGCTCGGCATTAGAGCCATGTGCATCGCGATGTGGTTTTTGCTTGAACCGTGCCCCACATTGGCTCCATGCTTTGTGAATCGTGACATCGACGTGCGCATTGTAACTGGGATGATTGAGGATTGAGCGGACCAGGGGTTTGTTGAGAAATTGGAAGGTGGGGAGGTGACGGCATTGATGTGGTAGGGTCGGGTAAGATTTTGGTTACGTAGGAAGAAGGTAGATGGCAAAGTTGGAACCCAGCATCCAACCAAAAAGAAACCAAAATCATGTGTGGAATGTTGCAAAGTGAGGATATACTTTATTATCGTCGTCGCATTTATTTCTTTTTGATACGATGCTAGAGAAAAAAGGGGTCAAGAACTAGTAAATCGCACTACCACATTTTCTAAACACTTTTCTAGACAGAAACTCGTCCCTTGCCAAGCTTTTACAAGACTATAACCGATAAGGAAACGACGCTATGTATGGTATTTAATCACCCACCTAGTATTTCAAAATGCGGAGAAGAAAGCACTAAATTAAACTTTGACCAGAAAAAAGAAAAGGTCGAGTGTTAAAATGATATGTGTGAATCTGTGTGAATCTGTATGAATCTGTACAATGTCGGCAGGTATCTACGCGTGTATCCAAGTACCTAGTACCCTAGATGAAATGGCCAGGAAGAGTTACGTGCTACCCCGAGTTATATGCAAGTATGAAATGTGTTTTGTTTGGGGTTATTATATGTTGTAGATGTTACCCGAGGTGCTCTTCAAGCGAACACTTACTAAAGAGGAGTGCGAGGTAGTAGGTAGGTAGGTCTTTTTGAATGGAAATTATATTTGCAGGTGTATGTGTGAAGAATAGATGGAAGAATAGAATCTCGTAGAATAACCTGAGAATCAAATGTTTTGGGGGTATAATTTCATTGGGATCTAGGTAGATGGGAGCAAGCTAGAAAGGAAAGAGTAGCGGAAAGAGTAGCGGAAAGACTCTTCCTTTCACTCTTCCTTTCACTCCTCCCTCCATGTACTCGAGTACGAAGTAGACACAAGCAACTGTAAACAACTTTCCAAATAAGCTACCCAATCTAGATAAGTCTCCTTGACGCGGAATAATCCCCGATTAAAACAAAACACTGGATCCTTTCCTCTTTCTAATCAATTCCGTTCCAGACCTTGGGAGCTTTACTAATGCAAGTGCACAGTTAACAACCCCCTCCTTTTCATTGGTTGCCACGAAAGGAGGGGTACTTTTCCGAATTTCTACTTATATATTTCCATCCCTCCATTTCTTGTGCCATCTTACTTTTGATTCTTTCAATTCATCAAAAATATCAAGGCTTTCTACCATTTCTCCATCAATCTTATCATCATCTACATCCTCAACCATCTCAATACTACTACACATAACACCTACCTGTGCAACAACATCAATACAATAGCAATCATGGTTGCTGACGATAAGCCCGCCTCTACCTTCAAGTACAATGAGGCTCCAGTCTATACTACTTCCAATGGATGTCCAGTGAGACACCCAGAGGAGTTTCAACGAGTTGGTACCAATGGTCCTCTTCTTCTCCAAGATTTCCATTTGATCGATTTGTTGGCACATTTCGATCGCGAACGTATTCCAGAGCGTGTTGTCCATGCTAAGGGTGCCGGAGCTTATGGAGGTAAGTTCTCATCTTTTGCTTCATTATTTCCGTCACCATCATGTTAACATATCATCTCTAGAATTCGAAGTTACACACGATATCAGTGACATCACTACCATTGATATGTTAAGCCAAGTTGGCAAGAAGACCCCTCTTGTCTCACGTTTCTCGACTGTCGGTGGTGAAAAGGGCTCTCCAGATTCGGCTCGTGACCCAAGAGGTTTCTCCGTCAAATTCTATACTGAAGAGGGTAACTGGGATTGGGTGTACAACAACACCCCTGTTTTCTTCCTTCGAGACCCAACCAAGTTCCCTCTCTTCATCCATACACAAAAGAGAAACCCTCAAACAAACTTGAAAGATGCTACCATGTTCTGGGATTACCTCTCAACTCATCACGAGGCTGTCCACCAGGTTATGCACTTGTTCAGTGACCGTGGTACACCATATTCCTACAGACACATGAACGGATATTCTGGTCACACCCACAAGTGGTTCAAGGCCGATGGTACCTTTAACTATGTTCAAGTCCACTTGAAGACAGACCAAGGAAGCAAGACTTTCACCAACGAGGAGGCCGGAAAGATGGCTTCGGAGAACCCAGATTGGCACACTCAAGACTTATTCGACGCAATTGAGAAGGGAGACTACCCAAGTTGGAGCGTCTTTGTTCAAGTCCTTTCCCCAGAACAAGCTGAGAAGTTCCGCTGGAACATCTTCGACTTGACCAAGGTTTGGCCACAGGGTGAGGTTCCATTGAGACCATTCGGCAAAATGACTCTCAACAAGAACGTTGAGAACTACTTCGCCGAGATTGAGCAAGTTGCTTTCTCACCATCTCACTTGGTTCCAGGTGTCGAGCCATCTGCCGACCCTGTCCTCCAATCTCGTCTCTTCTCATACCCTGATACCCACCGTCACCGTCTCGGTGTCAACTATCAACAAATCCCAGTCAATGCTCCTCTCCGAGCTTTCAATCCATTCCAACGTGATGGAGCTATGGCTGTCAATGGAAACTACGGCGCCAACCCCAACTACCCATCTTCTTACCGCAAACTCACTCAAAAGCCTGTCAAGGCTACCAATGATCATGAGCAATGGTCCGGTGCCGCTTTGAGCTTTTTGTCTGAGGTGGGTCCAGAAGACTACGTTCAAGCTAAGGGTCTATGGGATGTCCTTGGCAAGCAAGAAGGTCAACAAGATAACTTCATCGGTAATGTGTCTGGACACTTGGCGGCTGCTAAGGAGGACACTCGCAGGCGTACATATGACATGTTCAGCAGAGTCGACCCAACTCTTGGTGCCAAGATTGAAGAGGCAACCGAGAAGTTGGCTCCTGCTCCTGGTAGCAAGGCTGCTGGATCTGCTCAATCTCGCTTGTAGACTATAGATGTGTTATAGGATAAGACAAGGTAGAGAGGATTTTCAGGTTGCGTTTTGCTTTTTGCGATGATATCTATAATTATTTTATGAGAGACGAAGGATTAGGGAACGGTGATCGGATAGGTTATTTTGGTGGCTTTACAAAATTGGTTTTTAATCTGCAATGACATACCCCTTTTACGATTTCAGAACTCCCACATTTATTCATGCAATTTAGTGATATTCGAAAGAGTGTTTGTGAACGTTCTCATTGTCCTAGTCTATTTTATTCCACCTCTGGAGATAATAACCGAATCTATAAAAAGGTAATGTCAACTCAATGCATTACCGTTGTTCCGAACTTCCTTTCTAAACCAAAACTTTACATCCCTCTGCGTTTGAAACCACAATTGTTAGTGTCTCCTTTTCCATACCAGATGGATACACTGGACTGCCAGGTGGTAAACGAACATTCGAAAAGTTCCGAATAATACAAACAATCGCATATGACGCCTCCACAAGCGCAAAATCTTCTATTTCACATTATTAATTACAACCCATGATACATCACAAACAGAATCATCACTCACGACCAAGACAAATTCGCGATCCGCCATGAAACGGCATAAAATACCATCCCGCACCTTTTAATTCCGATCCCTCCCATCGCTCTGGACGAAAGGTGTTTGTGTCGTCGCCGTAGATTGCTTTGCTTCGATGCATGAGGTAGGGTGAGAAATCTACGCCGGTGCTCTTGGGGATGAGGAGAGGAGAGGTGTCGTGGGGACCGCCGCTACGGGGGAGGAGAGTGGTGAGTGGTTTGTGGGGCGACGCGGACGTTGTGGGGGGTTTGGATGTAGAGTCTGGAGGCTGAGGGGGGATGGTATGTGTGCAGGGGGGTAAGGTAATTACTTTCGTTGAACACACATTTCAGATATTGCATTTTAGATATCTGGGCCCGCGCAAGTGGTGTATCGTTGGAAGTGACGAGATCTATCTCTTGACGGAGACGCTTCAGTCTGTTTGGGGTTCGCACGAGAGTACAGCTGTTTTATATGATACCCATCAGTCATCATAGCTTCTTCAAGATTTCTTCAAGATTTCTTCATCATTGAACTTCGAAGAAAAAAAAAGAAGAAAAAAAGATACATTCCATTCCATTACTCTATCTCTACTCACAAAGTCTAACTCAGGAGATACGCTGACGTATCTTTCCCTGTCTGCCATACGTGCAATATCTAATTCCGCATCAACCCTACATTTCGTAACTCGGCGTACAAATCGAGGATGAATGGGATAAATGGATGGCGCTCCAACGCTTCAACGCTGCATCTCCATTTTCTTTTTTATTAAGCAGAGCTTGATGGATGGAGTGTTTTGCGTATTGCTTGATTGGGCGATATGTGGATGTGTACTGAGGGGGTTTGTATAGCTGGTAGAGATTGGGGAGATGGAGGGCGGAGATGAGGGAGCTGTGGGTGAGATTTGGGGGGAGGAGGTTGTGCTTGGATTGGGAGGGTGGGGACAGTGGGGAAGACCCCTCCCCCCAAAGAAGAAAAATACTAGTTTCCAGCCTGAAGCGGGAAAAAAGGGGTTGCAAATCAATAATTCCATCACTAGAAGAGAGAACCGCGAGGATTTCATCGAGGGGACCAGAGAAAATCTCGGGGTTTGGGGGTTGCTATTGGATGCGGGCGAATTGGCGACGGAGGATTGAGCGAGAGTGTTTCCAGGAGTGAGAGTTTTGGGTGAAGATCCCTTCGCCGATCATGGTCATGGAGTAGAGTCTTGAGCGGCGGAACCGAGCCCAAAGTCTGTACGGGGGGCTGGGTTAGGGATTGAAAACTGGGGATTGCATATGTATACTTCTGCGCGAAGGTACATGTAACTCTGCGCAAAAAACCCTCCTACCGTCAAACCTCGTCCCCAACATCGCTTCCAAATTCTCCGGATCCGTAGTAAAAAATCTTATCTGGCCCAAAAGCCCTACCTGAAACGTCGATCCCATACCCATTTTCTCGAAATACTCTGCTTGGAAGGATAGCAGATGGCCGGAGAGAAGCGCGTCGTATTGGCGTTTTAGGATGTCGAGACTGAGGGGCCATGTGTAGAGGAGGGCTCTTTGCGCGGTCCGATAGGCGTGGAGAGTGCTGAAGAGGGTGGTGAGCTGGACTGGGGAGGGGGATAGGATTGTTGTGATTGGTGAGTTCTTACTGCGTGTTGGCGTCGTCGCTTAAGGTGGATGGAATACCAGTATGAGAGTGGGATGGTGAGGATGAGGAGTTTGGAAATCATGTTTGATGGATTTTGTTTAGTATTGAGTATGGTGTGGAGAAGATGATGATGTTGGATAGCTGCGATGGGTGAGAGATAGTATTGTGTCGCGGATATGTGCTAGTCTGGGGTGACGTTGTGTATTCACTGCGTTTTTACAAAGTTGTTATAGAGGGGATCAATATTGTGAGGAGATTCTGTGCATTCATTGTTTACTATTCTCAACGTATGTCAGGGGATTTCGATGTCGATATGTGGATTTTGTGTATTCACTGGGGTTCGTAAATGTAGGAGTATGTGTGATGTGTTCCATCTGACTTGGACGACAGGTAGAGAGGAAACATCGGTGTAGTATGGTATGGTATGGTATGGTATTCTTACTGTGCTATCCATTTCTTGGGCTTGAGAGCGCGGATCGTGATTATGATGAAGAGGAGAGATGAGATAAGTTGGGTGAGGCGAGGTAGTATGGAGAGGGGGGGGAGAGGTATTGGGGTAATGGAACTGATACGTATCTTCCAGTACAGAAAGATGAAACATTCTCCCTACAACGATGGGGAAATAAGAATAGATTACTTATGTAACTATCTTGATGGATTCAAAAGATGAGACTCTTGAACCTTTTTAACCGAGATATTGTTTTGCACATTACCCGAGGACTGGATACCTAGGCATCCAAGAAGCTATTAGCGAAGGGGAGAAGGGGGGGAGGGGTTCATACATGAGTGAAGAATATATCATACCTACATTTGGTTTCGATATGTTCTGTAGGATAGAAGTAAGCTCATTATGCGAGATTAGTTTGAGTTTGATTGATGAGTGGTCAGTATTGGAAAGTGATCTAGAGAGAAAGAAGCATATCTATAATTTTATGTAAGCTTTGTGCTTCATACGTACGCTCCTAGACACCATTGTATGATTCAGACAAGATCTAGGAGTTCGAGGTGAGAAGCTCATACTTGTTTGGTTGAAATTCAATATCGATACCAGCTAGATACTTACAAAGTTTGTTTGCGCTACTTTTAATGTTGTGGCCGTGATATTGGTTGACATATAAGTATCTTGACCGAGGGATGAGCGAGGAAGGGAATTCAGTACACGCTTAACTTTCTCATATATTAAGTCCTGCACCGTAGTACTTCATCCAGAATATAATGGAAAGACTATTAAAATATTCGTTCGTTTCAGACTGGCGTTGCGCACAACTATAGCTGGCTGTAATTTTCCCATCGAAATATAGTAAGCCAGGGACTAGACTACCAACTGTTGGGACTTCGGTGATAGTATATCAAAAGACTGATACAATTCCGTACCCACAATCAAATGGTGGCACACTGATGTTACGCGATTGCTATCTGCAAGGTCTTGGGTGTCACCCCTGAGGTCTATCAAGTGGCTTCGATATCGCACTGCCTCCTAGTCTATCGGTCGAGGCCTAGTGGCCACACCAAACCCCTTACAGCTTTCTTTACGCAGCGTGCAAGCTTTCGGTATTTTATCTACTTTGGGTTCGTGCCGTCATTGAGTTTAATGGCATTGTATGTTATGAAACGAGAGACGGGGCTTTCATGCTGTGGCTGAATCTGCTTCGCCCTGCTCTTTGGAGAATTTGACAGGGTACTGTGTGTGTATTTCATCACCTTCAGCCTATCGAAAATGCCCCTGCTTTGAGAATGTAAGTAATTTATATTCAACGGCATTATTCATATGGATATAGCAATCAGCAATATCTCAACAATTCATAATCTTATTACGCATAATGTCAGAACTGGCTGCTCTTACGGAAGTCTTTTGTGGAGAGAACCCCATTGTTGAGTAAGTGTCTGGTTCTGAACTACAATATCTACAACTAACTAAAGCGCCCTAGTATTGTCGCAGTCCATGGACTTAATGGAGACTCGGTCAAGACCTGGACGTCAAAGACAAACAATAAGTTCTGGTTGGGCGATGCCGATATGCTCCCCTTGGCCATGAAACAATCTCGGATTCTGACGTTCAGATATAACGCTTGCCATCACAGCGCTTTTTGGGAAAACTTCAGCGGATCGAATCCTTCATCATGCTCAGACGTTGATAGCAGAGTTGGTAGCCGATCGTCAGGTATGTAGAAATCTCTACGCGAAAATACGAATATTCACACGTGCTGCAGATCAATGACGCGGAACACCGTCCCATTATTTTTATATGTCATTCACTGGGTGGTATCATCGTCAAAAGGGTAGGGAAGATATGAGATTCTCCTTTGAGCTCTGGCTCACAACTCTTATATAGGCACTGGTGTATTCATTCAGTCGAACCAGTAAAGCGGTTGAGCACCTCCATTCTATCTTTGTTTCCACCTACGGAATACTCTTTATGGGAACTCCGCATAATGGAAGCAGCCTGACGAGCTTGGCATCCATGAGCCGACGAATGCTAGAGGCACTTCTGCCGTCGAAAGTAGTTAGTACCGATGGACAGCTACTAGACGCGTTGAAGGAAGGGTCCGAAACGCTCCAGAATATCACCGATATGTTCATCCCGTTGATGAAGCAATTCCGAATCTATTTCTTCTGGGAACAGCAGAAGACAGATTTTGGGACAAAATTAGATTACGTATGTATTGAATTCTTTCAATCCGCTCCATGAAGTCTCCAGGCTGACATCGATTAGGTCGTAGAAAGTTCATCTGCTGCTCCAATCCTGGACAGTATTGAGAGAGCTGGACTGCCTTATGATCATTCCAATATGTGCAAATTTGCGTCTCGAACTGCAGGCGGATACACGATTGTTGTGGCAGCATTGATTCGATATTCTAAAGATGCACCGAAGACGATAGCGCGGAGATGGGATAATGCAGCGGTGATGTTTATGTCGGCGCGGAAGAACGAGGCGGCGGAGTTGTGCAGTTGAGGTAGTGGAATGGGTTGTAATGTATTTGCATCGAGGATTTTCGGCCGCGAGAGCACCTACTGGCTCCTGGTACGGATTCTGAACTTTATACTGATATTATTATTATTGTGTTTGTTGAAACCTTCCTGTACTTATAAATGAACATTGCATCCTTCTTTGATTGAAACCACCAGTGTCATTGTCTGTTTCTCCACCCCAGTTAACTCCACTTTCTCGTTCGCAGGTAACTTCACTCCAGGATATTTCCGTAATATTCTTACAACTGTATAAGCGGCCTCTGTAAGAGCGAAGTCCACTTGAAAAGAGTCAGCGTTGCACAAATTGCCCCTTCATGTTCGGTTAATTCTTCTTTTTTGCATTTATCCTTGTAATTGGGCTTTGCCTTATAATTTGTTTTGCTGTATGTTATCGTGGAATAAATCAGACGAGAACTTACTACCGAGACAGACTCTTGGTCCCCCATTGAATGGCAAGTATCCCCATTTCTGATTTGTTGGATTGTCATTCATCGGCATTGGTTCGTCCCATCTCTCGGGTCGATAGATTTCAGCATCCATGCCATAGAGATCTGGTCTTCTATGCATAGTATAGACACTGTAGGCAACAGCGGTCCCCTTTTTGATGAAAATTGGCGATTTTCTATCAGGTCCTCCTCCAGTTGGTAGAACTGTATCGTTCAAAGAAGTTCTGGTATTGACAGGGACAGAAGGATATAGACGAAGGGCTAAGATATATTTTAGTATTGTTCATTTGAATTTCTCCAATGAGAACTCACTTTCCTTGAGAATGTTTTGAAGGTATTTCATATTTCGTAGCTCTGTTCTATTTAACTCCGATGCATCTCCAAGTAACGCGACTTCTTTTTGTAATTTGGCTAGAACTTTCGGGTGGCGTACAAGAAGAAAGCTTGTCAGTAATGTTAGCGGAAGCTTTCTATAACAATACTTTAACTCACAATGTCCAAGAGAGAAGGCAGGCGGTGGTATCTCTTCCAGCAACAAGGATATTGACAATTTGTCCTCGCAGTAACTCACGGTCGCCTTGCATACTCTTATCTACTGATCTCAAGAAATCATATTTCTTATCGGTCCCAGACTTGGAATCTAGTGAAAGATTGTGTTCGATAATTTGGTCAGCGAATTTGTGCACTTTGCTGCAGGCTTGGGAGAATTTCTTCCCCCCAATAAGCCAGTAAAGATCCAAGAGCCGAAATCTCTTCACAACGTATTCTTGTGCAGCATTAAACGCGCCTGCAAAGTCTTGTTCGTTTGTTGAATCTGGGGACTTGAGACTATGGACAGATTGTCCGAACAAGAATGCAGTGGTTGTGTCAAGTGTGAGACGAAAGAACAATGGCTGTAGATCAACGATCCCTCCTTCTCTAGGGAGAGTATCAAGCAATTCATCAACAGATTCTCTGAAGACTTCCAGATCTTCGTATTGCCTATGGACAAAATGTGGTCTAAGCAAGTCTCTCGAATGTTTCCAAGCTTCGCCGTCCTGAATGAATATTCCCTCGCCAAACATTGGGAAGGAGATAGCACGCCGCGGTCCCATTCCCCAATCTATTTCAGGCATTTCGAGTCAGCGAAATTGAGCAAATAGATGTGGGAAGGTAGTGGGGAGCCAGACCCGAAAATTTTGTGGACATGATAGCTTCCAAATTGGCGGGATCCACGGTACCATAGGCCGGAGTCAACAAGAAAATTTGCTTCAGAGTATACCCGGTCTGCCTGAAGTGGAAGAGAAACAGCTCCATAAGTCTTGATTCATTATCGGCTCGAAATATCTGCTCTAGACGATCGATTCCAAGAGGTCTCTGGTTCTCGAGTAACGGAGGCGAAAGGCAACCAAGATTTTTTATAATAGCTTGTGTTTCCTACCATTATAGCCTCATTAATATCGTTTTACAACTGCTTCTAGGGACGTACCTTATTCTCTTGAATGCGGCTGATTGCCCATCGTATACAATAAACTAAGATCCCAAGTATAACCACGTTTAATACAAAAGCCATCTTGTCATATGGGATTTTTTTTTGGAAAGGGCAAGTAACAATCAGGCAATGAGCAATATGCTAGTAGAATTCAAAAGCATAGATCAGAGGAAATAGTCTGAAGTCTAAAAAGCTATCGAATGACCGTTATACAATAGTGCGTGTTGATGTAGGGACATGACCAAAACACAGAAGCGAAACGCGACAAGATTACCAACTAAGGACAATCCAATAATGCTCATTAACCTTACTAGATGTGAACACTGCAAGCAGAATTAAAGCTTGTTAAGGGTGAGTATCCCCCATCATAGTTCCAACCGTCAGATGTAAATAGACTCTTATCTTCATTTTAATCCAACGTTGAATCTACAGAGGTACATCAGCTCTTGATAATACAGGGGGGTGATTGGAGCGTAAAGTGGATCCTGCTCTGTATGTGCCCTGTTCTGTCGGTGTGCTGCACATGGATCATTGGGCTAATATATGCAGTCGGCCTAAAGCTACTGAATTGGAAGAAGAAGGGTTTCATCGCAGAAATTTTTACTTTTGAAAGAACCAATGGAATGTCCAAATACCATGCCCGCGTCTGTGCCTGGCCCAGATTTAAACGCCCGTTTCGTGCACGCCCATGACCGGCACGGTTAATCGTGCCGCGAGACTGGCTCTTAATATGAAATGGGATGGGTAGAAACCGGACATCACTCCTCGATTAGCTTTCTAGGGAGTACATATATCTGATCCGATTGGTATATCATGTATGGAGATGTACGCATCCATTTCCTTTGCTTCTCTACCCCAGCTTCCAAGGATTAGTTTGTATGGGCAGAATGATATTATTGGAGGGAAAACAGAGGCGGTGAGTCGTAAATAGATGAAGATAGTAATGTTGATGGATTGAATGGAATACTAATATGAAATCGATAGTAAAAGTGGTGTACATACAGCAAGAGCTGAGTCCATTTCCAATGTGATACGCTGTATACGTAGTCATGAAGTGTGATATCCGGAATAATGCCTTGCTTGGGTTTCCTACCACATTCAGCGAGATAAGGCTTTTCCTTATACCATCGATCTCTCTCATCAATACAAAACCATGATTCAGTATGAAAATTAAACTCATTGCGGAGCCAGAATCACCACATGTCGAGTATGTTGAGCTGCTCGTTAACGTTGTGTCTTTACGCTAATTTGGCATAGTTTAGTGGCTGTCCATGGTCTCTGCGAATCATCATCTGAGACTTGGACGAACCCGCAAAAGCATAAACCTTGGCTTCGAGACCCAGTTCTATTCCCATATCACACTCTCCGAACTCGAGTCTTATCCTTCGAATATGATCCGAGTCGCTTTACAATTCCTGGAAGGGGAGGGACTATATCGAATGGTATCTTAGATCTTGCAACGAATCTCATCGCCGAGCTTGACTCGTATAGACAAGCAAATGACGGCACGGAACATGCACATCGTCCTATCATTTTCATATGTCACGGATTTGGTGGTCTCTTGGTAAAACGAGCTCTTGCTTTATCATGGAGCAAAACAAAGTCTGGAGTTTCACATCTCCGAGCCATCTATATATCAACTCATAGTATCTTATTCATGGGAACCCCTCATAATGGCCTAGATGAAACTCTGATACTGAATTCGGGGATTGACAAATATCCTGGCCCTAGCCAATTTATGCTCAACCTTCTCACCGGCTCGGATACTATTAAAGAAGTCACAGATTTGTTTGCTCCATTGGCTAAGAGATTTGCCATTTACAACTTCTGGGAGGGACTGGAAGCCTTTTTTGATGAACAAGCACAACAGCCAGTTTATATTGTAGATGCGCTATCGGCTGCACCAGTCTGGGAACAAGTTGATAAATGTGGAATAATGGCAAATCACTCAGGGATGGTCAAGTTCAGTACAAAGAGCGATCCTGGGTATATTGTAGTTTACCAGGCTCTTGAAAAGTATATCAAGGCTGCTCCGCGAGTGGTCAGTAGAAGATGGGAGCAAGAGATGGAACGAGTTATTGCAGAGCGCAAACAGGAGGCGGATGATCTTCTTCAAGAAATACCTGCCCCGCCTTCACAAATCCAAGCGATTGAACCGTATATCAATGTGCACTATATGGTACATCGTTGTTCTAGTAGTTATTTTGTGGGTAGAACAGGTCAAGCAGACAAGGTGAAGGAGCTGTTTGGTGATATCACAACGAACCCTCGCTCCAAACATAGAATACTAGTAATTCATGGACTTGGTGGTTCTGGCAAGACACAATTTTCGCTGAAATATATAGAGAACAATCGTCACAGGTACAATCTTGATTCTCAATCTCGATCAATATCGGAGTTTTGCTAATCTTTACAGGTATTGGGGGATTTTTTGGATTGACTGCAGCAACGAATCAGCTGCGGAGAAGGGTTTTGCTTCCCTTGGGGAGAATGCACAAAAAGCGTCTTCACTTGAAGCAGGCATGCATTGGTTGTCGAACCAATCGACATCATGGCTTCTCGTCCTCGATAACGCAGATGATCCAGATATGGATCTGCCTAGATTTTTCCCTGCTGGCGGCAATGGCCACATATTAGTGACGACACGCAATCCTAGTGTGAGGATTCATAACACGGTTGGGTATCTTAAGTTTCAGGGAATGGACCCAGAGGAGGCAATTACATTACTTCTCAAGCTGGCTTGCCCCGAAAAGGAACCCAAATTTCCTCTGGCTCCGCAAAATAGACAAATGGCTGAGGGTATCGCCTCTGAATTAGGTTATCTAGCACTAGCTCTTACTCATGCTGGCGCTACAATTCGTCAGAATATATTCACACTGGAAAGGTATTTGAAATACTACCTTGGTCACCGCAGGAACATGATTCGCTCTCGTTCAGTCAACAGCTGCACAGATGCCAACATTATATCCACCTGGGAAATTCCATTCGAACGAATAGCAAGCAAAAATTCACTTGCCCACAAAGATGCTGTGGAATTGATACAACTTTTTGCTTTCATGCATTTCG